GGAAGTCTCTTCTCCTAACCTTAAAGTCGAAGAACCTTTTCGCGCGCTGTTGCTAGGCTGCTATCCTCAGCTGAGCCTTGCTGCGATGTTCTTCAACAAGATCCAGACTTGCACGCATAAGCGCTTCATTGTCTGTTTCATTGAACAAGTCTTTCCGAAGTGAACCAGTCCCTACTTCCATTGGGATCATCGCCTCGCAGCCATATGCCAGCGAGAAGGGTGTTTCCGAAGTAGAGGTTCTCAGAGTTGTCTTGTATGCTCATAGGACTTCTGGGAGGTCGTCGGCCCAATTACCCTTGGCAGCGCCAAGCTTGGCTTTCAAAGTATGCTTGATGGTCTTGTTGACAGCTTCAACCTGGCCATTTGCTTGCGGTCTTGCGACTGAGGCGAATTTTTTATGGATCCCCAGCTCATCGCAAAACTGCTTGAATTCCTCATTGTTGAACTATTTCCGTTATCGGAGATGAGGGTATGAGGTACACTATGTTTTTGAAGACAAAGTCCTTGAGCTTCTTGGTAGTGATTGCGGCCAAGGGTTCAGCCTCGGCCCACTTGGTGAAGTAATCCACAGCGACCACCGCATACTTGACCCCTCCCCTTCCAACTTGCATGGGTCCAATAAGATTGATTCCCCATATGGAAAATGGTCAAGGGCTGGTCATGAGGTGACTTCGCTGGCCTGTTGCTCAGATTCCTTAACCAGTTGATATGAGAATTTCGAAATGAAATCGGCAGCAGCCTACCCTTTAATGGTTGCTTTCGATCTGTATTGTAGATCGAACTGATTCAGTTCCATAGCCCACTTGAGCAACTTACCCGAAGCCTCTAGCCTCTAGAGGACTTGCTTGAGCGGATAGTTGGTCAATACATGGATTGTGTGGGCGTGAAAATAAGGTTGCAACTTCCTGGAGGCGATCAGCAGGGCATAAGCTAATCGCTCAATTTCTGGATACCACATTTTGGCGTCCAACAAATGTCTACTCGCGTAATATACAGGCCATTGGACCCTGTCTTCTTCTCGAATTAGAGCTGCACTGACTGCATACTGAGAGACGGATAGATATAGGAGAAGAATTTCCTGAGGGAGAGGCTTGGACATAAGAGGTGGCTTTCCGAGGTGCTCTTTAATACTCTAGAACGTCTATTCACACTCGGGAGTCCACTCGAACTTCTTGTTGACCCTGAGTATGTTAAAGAATGGCAAGAAGTGATCTATTGCCTTTGATATGAAACGACTGAGTGCCACTATTCGCCCATTGAGACTCTGAACCTGTTTTCGGTTGGTCGGGCTTTTCATACCAAGGAGAGCTTGAATCTTTTCGGGGCTGATTTATATTCCCCTCTGGTTAACCATATACTGCAAGAATTTTTTCGAGGATACTCCGAACGAACACTTGAGAGGATTGAGCTTCATTCTTTATCTCCAGAGTATACCGAACATCTCAGCGAGATGCGCTATGTGATCTGAAGCGATATGCGATTTGACCAGTATGTCATCAACATAGACTTCCATTGATTTTTCAATCTGCTCGGAATACATTCAGTCAACCAGTCGTTAGTAAGTCGCCCCAACATTCTTTAGGCCGAAGGGCATAACCTTGTAGCAATACAGCCCCCGATCTGTAACAAAGGAGGTATGCTCTTTGTCCGGCGCGTACATTGGAATCTGATTGTATCCCAAGTAGGCATCCATAAAACTCAGCAGCTCGTGCCCGGAGGTGGCATCAACGAGCTGGTTGATTGAAAGATGTCCTTTGGACAGGCTTTGTTGAGGTCAGTGAAGTTAACATAGGTCTGTCATTTTCCATTAGGCTTCCTTACCAAAACCGAGTTGATAACCTAGCTCGGGTAGAGTGCCTCCCGAATGGATCCATTTAGGAGGAGATTATCTACCTCAACTTTCAAGGCAGCATATCACTCCAGATCCATTGCTCTTCTCTTCTGGCGGACTGACCTGACCTCATTATCGATATTCAAGGCATGGCATATGATATTTGGGTTGATCCCGACCATGTCGGCATGAGTCCATGTGAACACGTAGATATTTTCCCTGAGGAAGTTGGTCAAGTTACTGGCGAGCTGGGGGTTGAGATTACTTCCAATTCTCAACACTCAGCTCGGCTCGCTCTGATCGACCGATACTTCAGATAGGTCCTCAACCGGCCCACTATAAGGGCATTCTTGGATACAAGGATCCATGTTATCCTCAGCTGGGCCAGGCTGTGGCTCGATCTTGCTGATCGCCATTACCTGTTCAGGGATGCCGACTGGAGTTCATTTTCCCTTGCACGCCATCTGCACTACCCTTACATAGCAGTCGCGAGATGCGCATTGAGATCCGCTTACTTCCCCTTTCCCCGTTGGGATAGGGAACTTCATCTTTAGATGGTAGATTGAGATGACTACTTTGAAGCTTCGTAGTAGGGGTTGTCCCAAGATGTCATTGAAAGCGGATGGACAGTCCACTACTAGGAACTCAGTCATTTTGGTCATTTCGTCGGTATCACCCAACGTGACCGGGAGCGAGATTATCCCCTCGAGAATCAGATGATCCCCGGTGAAACCATACAGAGGGATGGAGGCAAGCTTCAGATTGACCTCATCCAGTTTCATCCTTTCGAAAGCTCGCTGGAATGAGATGTTCACGGCGCTTCCATTGTCCAACAACATTCTGTGGACCTCACACCGCCCTATTTCGGGTGTGATGCCAAGAGCATCATCATGACCACCATTTGATTTTTTAATGAAATCTATACACCATAAATTCACTTAATTTGATGCAAATCCCTGGGTTCACGTCACGTATTATCTTTTTTAGGTTAATTTTATTTACAAATTTGTCATTGTAACAGTATATAAGCTTACTTTTTAATTCAAATTAGGGATCTAATTTTGATTCATACTTTGTAAGCCTTACTTGTACAAAAGGTTTTAAAACCCGACACGGGGAGTGACCCGGTCAAGTCACCGAGTCACTAGGTTGGTTGGTTGAACCATGATGTCATCATGTTGATGTCAGCATGATGACATCATTCTGACATCAACATGACATATAATAAAATAATAAAAAGCAGTTCAACCGCTGGGTCGAACCGACAGTTCATAACAAAAAAAACGGTCAAATCGCGATTCAAACTGGGTCATTTGAAAATTTCGGTTTTTTAGTCGAATCGACCCAGCTCGATCACCAGTTCCTGGTTCAACTGGTTGAACCAGTCGGGCCAGGCCGGGTCTTAAAATCATGCTTGTACATAGAGAAAACACAAAAAATAATACAAGAATAGTAAACGTAGGATTTGCACTTAGCATCCGAACCATTTAAAAATTTTTTTTCTTATGCTATTGTTTGGTTTCTTATTCATCCAGTGATCTAGCATCGAAATCACAGGTTTATACAAACTCCTACGTAGATTTGACCCCAGAACCTACATACTTCTCATTAGTGCAAATCACAACATCAACATATCCTTTTAATATTATTGATTAAATATATATATTGTATTATCCAATTGTACGATTGTACATATCTTGATCAACTTGAAGGAGTGCTTGGAAAATTCGAAAAACTTGGCATCTTTGCATCCATTATAGCCATATGTTGACATAACATAACATTAAAGGAATCGATTCCCCTTTTAACATTGGAAATAAACTATGTTTCAAGGAGATAATTAGAGAGATATCTTTGTTAAAGTGTTAGTTCAGCAATATAATATTAGGGTTATACCTGCTTTGATCAGTTTGTTGAAACGTAGATGATGACGATGGTGATGAGATTGTAATGAATATATGCTTTACCAATTACTGAATGAAGTTTCGTTATCAATTTGTACAACGAAACTTCTGGAATATTTTGCAGTAGTAATGTATTTGTACTTGGCATCTGCAAGCTGCTTCATCTTCATCTTCATCCACACTCATCATCTTATAATTCTCTGCTGATAGCAACTGTACTTGGGTCAGAACATATCGATTCTCTGCTCTTAATTCTTTCTTCATTCGTTTTCTTCAACACCTTTTTAGTCCTCCTGTCCTTGAAAGCTATTGAATCTTCACTCTCAAAGAATTCTTACGTGTAGGTGTTTTGATTTTGACAATTAATTGAGATGAGATGAGTACGTGTAAGTTTTTAGGTTCGGTGAATATTAATTTTTTTCAATCATATTATCATTAATGAGTAATTCTTAATTTACAAAATTTGGTATAGAAGAATATCTCCTAGAATGGATAGACAGACGGTCTCAAGTTTAATTTCTCATATGAGTCTTCACGATTTAAGTGAGAGTTAAGTAGGGGGCTGTGGCGATGAGTTATTGCGCTAGTCTTCCACAGGGGTTAAGTTGGGGGTCGTGGCGGTAGGATATTGCGCTAGTCTCCTCGAGAATTTGTCGAAGTGGTAGATATTGGGCTTTCAATGAGGTGTCAGATATTGGGCTTTAAATTTTTTTGTTTTTTTTAATCACCAGGAATGTCTGGCTTAGCTTGTGTGCATCTTAACTAATTTCTCGGGACCCTGAAACTGCCGACCAAGTAAGAGCTCTAATAGCCATCCCTATTAGTGTATAAAACTTCTTTTTGCTCTTTTACCGTCAGGCCACCAAATCATGGTTAGAAAAACTTTCAATTCCATGCACACCTTAACTAATTTTCTGAGACCCTAGAATTATTGGTTGAATGAGAGTCCTAATAATCATCTCTATTATTGCTTGAGAGAAGTCAAACTCAAGAGCTTGTAGAATTTTCTTTTATTCTTTTATCATCAAGCCATCAAGTCGTGGTTAGAAAAATGTTCAATTCCATGCACACTAATTTGTTTTTAGAATTGATAATCCTTAATTAATTAAATTGAACACTGTCTAGGGTGATCCCAAGTTTAATTTCATAAAATAATAATACTAATGATAAATTTGGAACGCATTTCATCTAAGAAAAATGAAAATTGTTGAATAGGGTCACCCATTAATTATTTCATTAGATATATAATATTTGAAGAAAAAAAAAAAGAACTGAACTGAGACTATACTATGTCGTTTTATTTTTAGTTGCAGAGGCAGAAGCTTGTAAGAATGGCAGTTCGAATCCTTAAACACGCACGCTTTACAATCCCAAACACCCTGTTTTTGTCCCAATTTTCTACCTCATCTCCTCCACCGTCTGATCAATCCCACCACATAATCTCCACCGTCGTTTCACTCCTCACTCACCACCGCTCCAAGTCACGTTGGACTCACCTCCACTCACTCTGCCCCTCCGGTTTCACACCATCCCAGTTTTCCCAAATTGCCCTCGACCTCAAGAACAATCCCCATCTTGTCCTCCGCTTCTTCTCCTTCACACAACGCAAATCTCTCTGTAAACATGACCTCAACTCTTATGCTACTGTCATTCACATCCTCTCTCGGGGCCGCCTCACTTCCCATGCCCAAAATGTTATCCGGGTCGCCATTAGATTTCCAGAACCGAACCCGGTAATGAAACTTTTTGAAATTCTTGTTAAAACCTATAGAGAGTGTGGTTCAGCTCCTTTTGTGTTTGATTTGTTGATTAAGTGTTGTTTAGAAGTGAAAAAGGTTGAAACTTGTGTTGATATCGTGAGAATGTTGATGTCTCGTGGGCTTGGTTTGAAAGTTAGTACATTTAATGCTTTGATATGGGAGGGTTCGAGGTGTAAAGGAGTGAACTTTGGGTATGAGATTTATAGGGAGGTTTTCAGGTTAGATTGTGAAGAGAGTGAAAGAAATGGTAAAGATGTGAAAAGGGTTGTCAGGGTTAGGCCTAATGTGCATACATTCAATGCTTTGATGGTGTGTTTTTATAGAGAAGGGTTGTTGGAGAGAGTGGAGAATATATGGTTTGAAATGGAGGGAATGGGATGTGAAGCTGATTGTTATAGTTATGGTGTTTTGATGGTTGTGTTGTGTGAGGAAGAAAGGATGAGAGAGGCGGAGAAGTTATGGGAAGAAATGAGAGATAAGGGTGTGGAGCATGATGTAGTGGTGTATAATACAATTATTGGGGGGTTTTGCAAGATTGGACAGATTGGGAGGGCTGAGGAGTTTTTTAGGGAGATGGAGTTGAGTGGGGTTGAGAGTAGTTGTGTTACTTTTGAGCATCTTGTTAACGGATATTGTAGAGTTGGGGATGTTGATTCGGCCGTTTTAGTGTATAAAGATATGTGTAGGAAAGATTTTAGGCCAGAGGGTTCCACGGTAGAGGTTTTGATTAGAGGGCTTTATGATAAGAGAAGAGTTTTTGAAGCAATGAAGATACTGAGGGTTGGAGTTGAAAAGTTTGGTCTATCTCCTACAAAGAAAAGCTACATGTTCTTGATAAAGGGATTGTGTGAGGAGCAGAAGCTGGAAGAAGCATTGAAGGTTCAGGCAGAGATGGTGGGAAAAGGGTTTGAGCCCTGTTTAGAGATTTACAATGCTTTTGTTGATGGATATATGGAACAAGGAAATGTGGAAGTGGCAAATATGCTGAGAAAGGAGATGTTAGAATCTCAAAAGAGGCAGGAAGAGGTTTAGATTTTTAATTGTTGTATGAGTGTTTGCCGACGCCGAGTCATAACAGCAGCCAGTCACCAGTTATTTTGAGTTGAATGGTGTGAACTATATGGTGCGTTTTTTTCTTTACAGTAGCACACTTAATATTTTCTAATGAAGCAATTAAAATAATTTTACCAATTCCTGAACATTATCTATGGATGCTTCAGGTTGACGTTTGCGTTGCAGACTTCTTATCTGATTGATGCAAATTCCTTGTTGAAGGTGAAGTGAATCTTGATAAGGTGATGTATGGCACTCAATAATGCCTTTAGCAGTTTGATTTGAGTTGCCTATCAAAAAGTAATAAAATTTTATTTTATAGAATGATCTAATACGTTTGGGATCATAACAAAAATGCATTTAACATGAGCCATAATGGGCAAACTTGAGGTTAGAGCTCTAATCTTTATGGCAAACTGCAGATTATACAGGTAAAGAAGAAATAACTGTGAAAAATTATTTGATAATCAACTTGAATGATCAATCTTATTGAGTGGTTGTGGCGGGGGTCCATCTATAATTAGTTGCTTTCTTCTCTCATCCTTATCATGGTCTTCTTCATCTCTGCCAGAGTGAGCTGATTTTTTTTGGTACACATTGGATGAACATTGAAGAAGCAGAGAAGAGATAAAACCAGGAAATCCAGAGATACCTCTTCATGCTAGAGTTGTACCTTTAGAACTCATCTTCATCCATGTTAGAATGCCTTGCATCTGCCATTACTCAAATATTTGCTCCATTGCCGTGAAGATCATAGAAGTAGAGCTTTGAAGACGATGTCCTCTTTTCCATGATTCTCCCTTAGTAATATGATTGTAAAGGTGAATAAGAGATATAAACACAAAACTTAAACCAACCCTGTAATTTAATTAATAAGTACCAGCTAAAGATATCTCAGTGGTTTCAACATGTTCCATATTTGCCAATGAATTCAGTTATGGACATTGAAACGGAGGACTTGATGAGGATATGGATTCAAACCACTTTCCTTAAGTGATGCCAAGCCTTGTAGTCTGTTGTTCAAATATTGCTGCCACAAAAATAATCACTATTAGGGTCAGTAAAACAACAAAAGAGCAAGTATTGCTTCCTCACTTTCTCAATCATGTCAAAGAGAAACGAAATTTTTTGAATATAATCAAACGGTTGAGTATACCGTTGAGTCCATGAGGCAGTAGAATAGGACTGGCAAAGAGGGCTTCATGAATCCACAACTAAAGCTTTCAAAAGAAAACTTTAATTTGAAAGCCATTTTTACTTTGTATATTATGTGTACAGATATTTCATTAGATGTTGCTCACAGATGACTATAACTTGCTGCAGAAAAAATGGCTATGAGTGGTTCCTCATGCACTGCAAGGGAAGAATTCAAATGTTTCGGCACCTTAGTCAATGACAGAATCAAAAATGGAAATGTGGAGCTGTGAAGAAGCAGAAGGTGATTTTTTTTTTTCTCAGATGCCCGTCTTGTTCACCATTTTCTTCGACGTAACATTCCATATATTAGTATGATTTCTGTATGTTAAATTGGATGTTGAAGAATACAGTCTCCCTTTGTGAATAAAATGGCATTCACTGGAAGTGACTTTCATTTGCTGTTTCCTTTGAATTTGATCAGCATTTTGAGTGAATTTCCATATCTGTTTTGGGGAGTAAGAGCACAAGNACTTAAAAGCCATTTTTACTTTGTATATTATGTGTACAGATATTTCATTAGATGTTGCTCACAGGTGACTATAACTTGCTGCTGAAAAAATGGCTATGAGTGGTTTCTCTTGCACTGCAAGGGAAGAATTCAAATGTTTCGGTACCTTGGGCAATGACAGAATCAAAAATGGAAATGTGGAGCTGTGAAGAAGCAGAAGGTGATTTTTTTTTTTCCCATACTCAGATGCCCATCTTGTTCTCCATTTTCTTCGATGTAACATTCCATATATTAGTATGATTTCTGTATGTTAAATTGGATGTTGAAGAATACAGTCTCCCTTTGTGAATAAAATGGCATTCACTGGAAGTGACTTTCATTTGCTGTTTCCTTTGAATTTGATCAGCATTTTGAGTGAATTTCCATGTCTGTTTTGGGGAGTAAGAGCACAAGAGATTGATTCTTCACCTTCTTTTCCAATTATTAGGGTTAAACCACCACTGGGTGGCTTAACGATCAACAAAGACTCTTGGGTGTATTACTCAATAAGTCATGAGTTTGATCTACCTATGTTGCTAATAACGGTGACCACTGAGAGGATTTACTCAACTGTAAACTTTAGAGTCTCAGGAGATTAGTTGAGATATGTGCAAGCTGGTCCAAACACCCCTGATTAACAAAAAAAAAAAAATATATATATATATATATATATATGAAAGAGCTGAAAATTTTCAAATCTCAGAAAAAGTCTCTGAAACAATATTAATAGAATTCTTGCATTGGTACTTGAACTGCATCTATGTTTATTGTTATAGGAGTGAAACAATTTAAGCTTGCCTAGAACTACTGCTTGTGTACAATTTGCAACTGTATCATTGATGATTATGAAACATTGAAGGCTACTACTATACAAACAGAACCACAAAATTCTGAAACTTCTGAGATAGACAATCACCACCACAAAGATGGGAGTAACCAAAGGTTGAAAAGAGACGAAGCCGAAGAAAGAAACCAGGTCAAGAAGGCCATTGCAGCAGATATTTGATATCTACTGCAAAACTTTGTAGGGCAATAAGCTCCATCAGCGTGGAGTAGGAGATCTACAACACTAGCAGTTGAGCATGCTGCAGCTAGTGTAAGAATTGATAAAACCTGTCATGAAATATATCATGAATTTATCAAATCTGTTTTCCATTAGATTTATCCATCTGTTTTGTAAGTGAATCAAACTGTACATAACATACCCAATCTCCTAAAACAATTATCAGCAGAATTCCGGGTTGTCGAATGGGGCATTTAACCAGAACAGAGTATCCATCCACAATTGCCAAAGTAACACTCCAGGGAATGACCAAACCCATTATTGTTACCAAATAGCTGAAATTTAAACAGTACAATGAGTATTAGAATGTGAAGAAAATTGTAGATTAATGGAGATATGAAATGATTTTGTTGGTGAGCGAGCAACTGATATTGAGAAAGTCAAATCAGTGGAAGAACTATCAAAAAGGCCAACTCACATTTATGAAACTGCCAAGACAACCATGTGGGTATCAATAAGAACAAAAATAATGAATTAGGACTTAATCATACAGACTAAATCTATTACTTTAATGACTATCCATGATAGCAGCCAAGGCACCACTAAATTTTAGGCTTTTGAGCTGGCACACACCGCACTCAAACTTTCTTTAGGCCTGGATGAACAAATTCTTGATCATCAAAGTGATTCAGTCATATGATGCGGAGCTCATCAAGGGTTCTGGTTTTGATATGATATGGAACAAAACTGGCCACAGTAGTTGGAGCTGATGACTAACTAAATTCATATGAAAAGGAAAAAAAAAAAATTGCTTAAATTTCAGAATCAAATGGGAGCCCTACAGTCAAATCACTCTGAAAAACAAAATATAATCAATCTGATGTAGTGAAAATTTTGACAGATTCTATTCAAAAGAAAGACTTGGAAGTCTTAACAACAAAAAAAAAGTATGCAATTTTCCTTTCAATCAATCAATCAATCATTTAAAAATCAGACCAAAATTCATATTCTATTTGTCCAAGAAGTTAGCAACCAAGATGGAATCCATAATTGAAAGGAAGAAAAGAATAGAAAAGAGAGAAGAAAGAAGAAAGAAGAAATACCAGAAAGCAGTGTAGCTATAGAACTCAACACCTAAAGACATGAAGAGAAGAGAAGCAGAGGAGAAGATGGCCTGGCCTAATCTCAAAGAGAAACTGGCACTGGTTCCAACAGAGCCAGGTACTACATCCGTCGCCATCTTTGCATGGAACCTATACTTATACTACTACTAGTATTATTATTATTATTTCTTGCTCTGTTCTTCACCTTCAAGCTCATCTTCCTCCTTCAACTTTCAGCCATACCCGCCTCCGCCACCACCACTCCACAAAATATGTCATCTAGATTTGGTTGCAAACATTCTCCGCGCAAGTATGGCAAAGGCCAGAAAGAAAGAGAAAGAGAAAGAAAGAATGATAGAAAACCGGCAAGTTTACAGGTCAAGAGTTTGAACTCGTGAAATGCAAAATACCTTTGATCATTGAATAATTGATAATAATAAGAAGAAGAAGAATTAATATATACTATAATTAATACTTAATAATCAAGGTTTTTCTTCAATTATGGTGAAATTGACACTTGTGTTTTGTAATCTCTGTTTTCGGGTCTCATTGCATATGATTGTTGTAGGTGGGATTTGTAACTTTATTATAAAGTAACTTTCTTTTTTGGGAACCGGAGTGTTCAGGCTAGCTTACGCACGCATCGACTAATCATCAGGATTCATCAAACACAAAACCTGGTAAGCCACGGTATTATTGTAATAAGTAACCCCAAGGTTTGAATCCAAAAACTCAAAAAGTTAGCAAACCTCATTGATCGTCAGGCCAACATGTTTATTATAAAGTAACTTTGATTGACATGTAAAAATGGTATTAATCGGGGTGTCCGGACCAGCTTGCATACACCTCGACTAATTCTCGAAGTCCATTGAACATCTTACAAACCCAATAGACCAGATAAGTCACAAATATGATAAATAACCACTTTGTTAGACTCGAATATAAGACCACTGGATAACTCACCCAGATGGTTAAAGTCTTGCCGTCCGACCACAAAACTAGTGGTTTTAATAAAATAAATCTACTAACCCCATTAACTAATTAATGTTTATTACAAGTTGATAGATCTCGTTAATCAAAATTAGATCATTAACCTTAGGATTAAGGGTTCACCAAATTGTTAAATGGGGTAATGTCGTATTATCAAAGCAATAGATTTCTTCTAAACAACAAGCAAGTATATAATTAGGTCATTGAAAATTAAATAGAAAATTTAACCACACCACCCCTTTATTATTCTATATGTCTTAAATGGTTGGTAAGAAATTAGGGACATATGGGAGTGGGACCAAAAAAGTGCTTTTTTCTAAGAAAGCTAGAAGCATTTTTTTTTTTTTACAGAATAAAATTATAAAAAATAAAATAAAAAAATAAAAAATAGTAAATATCTTAGTCAAATTAATATGCAAATAAGGAGAAGAACAAGGTGAACCAATGCTTTTAGCTTTTAAAAGAGGGTTGTGGACTTGCCACTTGTCATTTCTTTAAACAATCCCTTATTAGTGGGAAAGTTACATATCTCAATTTAGTGGTGAATCTTTGTTTTTGGATTTTATTATATCAAATTCCTCTTTTTAGTTACAACCTTCAACCAATCAAAAGCATTCAGTCTCGTAAAACCAGTCAAAATCTGAAAATGTTAAAAGACAAAGTTCCATAGTTGTGAGATACAAGAAAATTTATCCCATACAACTAAGAAAATATCTTAAATTCGATACGATATGATTCGTTCACTTTGATGACAACACAAATGGTTTAAAAGGCACAAAGAGGAGTGAATTATTTTAAGAGTTAACGACCTTTTCTCACTCAAATAATAGCTTAATGATACTTTCTCACTCACAAACTTTCCTACTCAAACTGTTGGAGTTTTTAAAAAGGAGAAGCCGATGAGTCTTTTATTAGTGGAAAGTTAGATTTTAATGGTTGGAATTGATCGAAATTTAACTTCAAAAGAGTGTCTGCACAAACCCTAATTGTTTGATTATCGACGATTGACAGAGTCGACGAGAATAAGATTTTAACAGTTTTGATGAGTAATAATAAAAAAAGAGAATGGTGATAATGTGAAGTCATAACGATGCCAGAATCGGAAACAGAATATAAATTTAGATAATAAAATAATATTTAAAAAGTCCGTGAGTGAGAAAGTATCATTAAACCATTATTTGGATGGGAAAAAGCCATTATTTACTCTTATTTTAATGGTGAATTCACATGGTTAAGTGTGTCGGCAAGAACTCACATTGGTGGGTGGGGTAGCACCCATTATCCACACATGTTGTCATGTTCCTGTCACCAATTCTCCTGTACTAAAAAAATTTCCTATCTTCCAAACAAAGACTAAGAAGAATTTGTTCTTTGCAAAAATCCCAAATGAAAAAACAAAGACTTTAATCAAAATGAATGCAAATAAATGCAAAGTAAAAGCGACAGCACACCAACCAAGAATCAAGAATTGAGTTTTCTTTATCAGCTGGGCATTGCCGTTGCAACTTGAAACACCAACCCAGAATTTCTTGCTATTAAAGGATTGGGAGGTCCTGGCTTGTAATACAATTGATTGGTTGCAGGGGTTTTGATAGATTTCACTATCAAAAGTCAAATAACAAATAAGGTTATGAATCAGCTGTATGCATGTGACGTGTTTTCTAAGCAGACAACTGAAAACTCTTATCATCTATTCAATGCTCACCTAATTGTTTGTTTATTTTCTACACATCTATAAACTAGTTATATGCAGTTCACCCTAATTCTAAAACTGTGTTTTCAATGAACTTGTGCAACTACTTCCTTCACACAACAGTCAAACATAAGAACATCAGAAATCGGAAATTTCATCAAGTAACGACTAAATTAAACGGAGAAATTCAGGCTGAACCACTCGTTTGTCAAAGATATTCACGGACGAGAAACAGAAATCAAATAAAGTTAGCAATTGAGGCAAATTATACACCTAGCCATCACCCTCTAAATGGATGAAGAAGGTGATTGATTTGTTTGGGGATTCAAGCATAGCCGCCAACATGTGAAAAACATGATAGAAAATATTATTCCTAGGATGAAATTAATTTACCGATATTACTACCCAGTAACAGAAAGTATATTCAATGAGATATAATACTAGACAAGTCATTACATACTGTGAAAGTAGCCAAGCCTCCAAATTATAAAAAGCTACAGGGACATTGCCACAAAGCAAAGCAAGGGCACATTTAACCTAATGCAAGGACAAGCAGACCTCAAACTTTTCCCATTCCTGTGCATTCCTCTCTCTTACACCAACTGCACCACCAAACAAAGAGACAGAAAGAGATATATCAGCAACAATAACAACCTGATGTAATACTATAGACATGAAAGATAGAAATCCTTGATAGAAAAAGAATTTGGAAAAATAATAAGTCAGCAAAACCATATACTTCATGAATGAATGCCTCACTCCCATACCCACTAAACCAATAAAAAATGCAATTACTCTGGATATCAACACCTCAGAGATCGCTATAATAAATGGCCTCACCATAATGAAAGAATAAGAGAAGCTAAAATGCAAATGCAGTACAACCAATTATTTCACTGTTAGGGCGACTTTCACATTCACAGACAACTGCTGATCTAGGCAGCATCCCCTGAGGGCAATCATATAATTCATGCAATTTGTTTCTTGATCATTCGATGCAGATAACAAGCATACAACAGAAAATGACATTTTACATCAAAAAGTGCCACTAGCAAAAGGGCCAGAAAACCTTGAAGATTGGGCTCAGATAATAGATCATTTCTCAAAGCCCCACTGAAATAGATGCCAGCCTTTACTTTTTATGTTTTCCCAATTCAATAAAAACACACCAAATACACAAAGTACATATAAAACATCAAGATGACTAGAAGGCATGTACAATGAAGTGTAAGAGATACAGCAGCACGCTGAGAAATAACACGGCATCAATGCCAGGCAGACATCAGACTGAAGTATAGACAATGTAGTATTATAGCTTCAAAAGTTTTAACTAGTACCAAGCCAGAAGGAGAACATGATAGTTGCAAACATTACAGATAATATAGCATACATATTTATCCAAGTAAAGTTCCCCACAAGAACTATGACCACAAAGCCCGCCTTTACAAATAGTAAAAATTTGGAACAAACCAAACAAAAGATGTTATCATTCAAAGGAATTTAGATCTCTTAATATCTATGCCAAAAGAGTGCACATCCATGCAGACAGGAGATAAAGAGAAGTCCTAGATTTGCTATATAAACTTAGCACAATGGCAACCTGCAGCTACTTCCACCACTCTAATCAAATGAAAATTGGGGAAGAGAAACAGGAACTTTCTAGATGCATCTGCATCACTTTGCACTAGCCACCCACATTCCTTAAGACAAGACAATGATCATATCTCCAAAAATCACAAACATTATTGGAAAAAAAAAAGTAATTACTAAGATTTTTTGTGCGAAAATCTCCCAATTGTTTTAATTTTGGCAAACTCAGGTGCAAAGATAATCACACCAGTTTACCCTGAAGGAAAGCATTAACAAATATCACTCCAGTCAATGCATTTGCTTCTATGAAACAAAATAAATATAGTCATGGTCACTAAGATTTTTTCTTCCCATACCAATGCTCCTAGTTATTAGGTTCAATCTGCATCTGAAACTCAGATGGCTATTAGGTGGCCCTTACAAAGCAATACTCCATTAAAACCCTACAGCTTCCTGTAAATTCAACATTGCAAATTTTTTTATAAACAACTTCCTTCCAGTTGCTTCATACATAAAAGATACTTGACACAGTACGCACAAAAAAATAAACAAAATTACAATACTCCACCACTCCCTACTATTTTCATTCCATAAAACTTCTCCTTACCATTCCATCTTACATTATCACTAAATTAACAAAGCATTCTCCCACTCTCCACTATTTTACCTTTATGTTGAATCAGTATATCCAAACCTTCTCCACAGAATCAATGCATGCCTATTGGGTTCTAATACCACATTCATCACACTTCCTCTTATGGAAATTAAATAAAAATAAATAAACCAATCCACTAATAGACCTCTCAAAATCATATCCAACCGCAAGTAAAAGGTTCAACAAAACACAAAGACGTCCACGAGCAATCCAAACAATATAATTTAAAAAACCAATAAATAAATAAATAAGAAAACCCCGTTAATTCTCATTCATAACGAAACGAATAAAAAACTCAGATCCTTGACAAAAACGAACCCAAAAAAAAAAAAGACCCACTTCCCAAATCGACCCAAAAATAACAACGAAAAAAATAAATTACCTACAAGTGAGATCTAAAATTCGAGCTTTAGCTCTTCACTTTCAGCAGAGAAGTAGTGAAGAATATAGGGAGTGACACGAACCACGGCAACCCAGGCACCGAACATGGCCACGTGGGTCCGTAGCTGCTTCAAGGCCGCGGCCTTGTCTGGCTTGCGCATGAACAGTCCTGGAAACATGATTTCTCCTTTTCTTTGCCCTGAACCTAAAACCCTAGATGCGTTTTGCCTCTTTCTATGCAACTACGCTTCGGGGTTTTAGGGCGTGAAGTGAAATTTAAAAAAAAAAAAAAAAAAAAAATAGGCACGTGCTAATCACCTGCACAAATCAACAGTGATCTCTACACGTGTATCTCAACGAGTCCCGATATTTGGAACAATATCACTAAAACCCTTATGTTGATTAAAAATATAATTTACCCCTTACCGTTCATAAATATGAAGACTGGCCCACGTTATTTGATAATTGTTATCTAAACATTATTGTTTTGGAAATTTAAAGATTTTCTGAATACTTTAATGGGTCAAAATCAAGCTTTCTTTTCACGTCCTTGGTGGAATTATTTTTATAATATGATTAATTGAAGTTGAAAGCCTTAAATAATGTTGATTTCCCTTAAATCCAAAGTAGAATCGGTAAACATCATCCAAATTATGTTATTTTTCAATTGTGAAAGCTTTTTGTGGCCTATTTGTGTTTAGGTATAGGCTCTACACCACCAAGATCGAACCGGCCGATTCGATCGAGAATCGAACCCTTATCCAATCCTAGTACATCCTAAACCAATTATATTAGTTAGACGGAATTGATCAAGGTTGAACAGATGGAATAGTGCCAAATCATCGAGTTAGAGAACCGGACCAGTGATATTAGTATGGCATAATAAAATTTTAAAATTCTAATAAATTTCCAAAATTATTTCATCTAAATCCAAAAAACAACATAACTTAAATAGAATAAAACGAAATCCCAAATCCAAATCCCAAATTCAAATAACAATATGTCATGCTGATGTAACTGGTTCGATCGANTTTATTAAAAATATAATTTACCCCTTACCGTTCATAAATATGAAGACTGGCCCACGTTATTTGATAATTGTTATCTAAACATTATTGTTTTGGAAATTTAAGATTTTCTAAATACTTTAATGGGTCAAAATCAAGCTTTCTTTTCACGTCCTTGGTGGAATTATCTTTATAATATGATTAATTGAAGTTGAAAGCCTTAAATAATGTTGTTTTCCCTTTAATCCAAAGTAGAATCGGTAAACATCATCCAAATTATGTTATTTTTCAATTGTGAATGTTTTTTGTGGCCTATTTGTGTTTAGGTATAAGCTCTGCACCACCAGGACCGAACCGGCCTATTCGATCGGGAATCGAACCCTTATCCAATCCTAGTACATCCTAAATCCAATTATACTAGTTAGACGGAATTGATCAAGGTTGAACTGATGGAATAGTGTTGAATCATCGGGTTAGAGAACCAGACCAGTGACGTTAGCATGACATAATAGAATTTTAAAATTCTAATAAATTTCCAAAATAATTTCATCTAAATCCAAAAAACAACATAACTTAAATAATCCAAAATAGAATTTTAAAATTCTAATAAATTTCCAAAATAATTTCATCTAAATCCAAAAAACAACATAACTTAAATAATCCAAATCCAAAATTCAAATAACAATATGTCATGCTGATGTCACTGGTTTGATCGATTGGGCAAATCAATCAACCCAAGAACCGACCCTTTGACCAGGCCAAGGCCTAGTTGCTCTACTTAATTCATCATTGCCATGATAAGTCATCAATTTTAGAATCAATGTAAGTTGGTCGAATATAATTTCATTGTTTATGTCAAGCTAGCCCAACATGATAGATCCAAAAGGTCTAAACAAGTGGGTTGCACCAACATGATACGACCCATTTTACACGTTTAAGTATACGTATTAGAAGCTATCAATCGCTGTTAAATTACACGTCTAAACCTGTCCACATTATCATAATTTACCCTAACCATTACCTACGAATGGATAATTGATGTTAAATTACTATATAAATAATGATCACTATCGATCGTCATGTCTTATGAGCGTGATATCACCGCTAAGAAATATATAAATCTTATGCGAAGTTTTATGTTATTTTATAGTTGTAACGCATTGAAGGGAACACACATTTTTCAAACAAATACTAAAGATATTTAATATTTTCATGAAGTAAAATGTGAAATTGATAATAAATATGATAAATCAACATAAGATAAGATTATTGTAATTGCAAATGTCACAACACAAGACTTAGAGCCTACAATTTTATTGAATCAAAATTCTTTATTAGATTTTGTGATCTAAGATCATAATCAAATGCAAATCTACACCGTTCATGGAAACTCATTTTTGGACTGATTCAAGAGTAGTGGCGCTTTCCTTTTTAACTTTCTCTCATTGCTTTATTAGTGCTCTACACCAAATTTGACTTCTATACTACGATTATTTTCTCAATGGGTTCTCATCTCATCAAGTGTGACATTACATATACAAATTAGTTTGATACCGTAAATAGGTTCGGGTAGAATTTACTTCCAAAAGCTAATTTAAGAGTGGAGAGAATCCAACCACATAAAACACCTAAGGAACTGGCATGATGGTCAAGAAGATTTGTTATCTTTATCAACTTCTTGGATTCAAACCATCTTGGAGTTCCAATCACATTTATGGCTTATCTTAGAACATTGGGCTTATAAGATGTTTAGTGAACCTCAAAGATTAGTTGAGGCGTAAGTAAGTTAGCCCAGACACCTTGGTTATTAAAAAAAAAAAAAAAAACCAGTCATATATATGCACCACAACAGTCTACTAAATCAACGATGTGAGACAAATACAACTTCTAACAATCATAAAAAAATTTCCTTGAAACATTAGACTTGTAAGATGTTTAATGAGTATCGTGTATTAGTTGAGATGTAACCTAAACACTCCGGTCATTTAAAAAAAAAAAAAAAAAAAAACCTACAAATATACACTAAAGCATTATACTAAATTGATAATGTGAGACAAATATAACTCTTAACGATAATAAAAAAAAATTATTGAAACATTGAGCTTGTAAGATGTTTAATAAGCCTCGAGAATTAGTTGAGGTGTAACAAAATAACCTGAACACCTTAATCATTAAAAAAAAAAAACCTCATATATATACTATAATAATATACTAAATTAACGATGTGAGATAAATACAACTTGTAAATTCTAATTACGAGAAATATTATAGGAATAATAGGTGATAAAATGTGATTATAATTTGAACACTAAGGCCGCAGTCAAAAGAGGGAAGATTACATGATGAAATTGAGCAAAACCCAGTCAACAAATCCACAAAAGTCAAACAAAAACTCTTCAGTGTTCTTGCATGAAAACCCCATTCAGTTTTGTTTGTGGAAGATCCTCCGACTTTGGGCCACCACATCAGACCTAACCTCTATTCTATAAACTAATAAATTAATTCTGTTTCTCACAGTTACCCAATCAGTATAAGCCACGTCACTCCTAGGATTTAAGACAACCCTTATTTAATGTTTAATACTGTGTGTCCCTGCCGCACCTGATTGATCCCACATGTGCCTTAAATTCAGTTACGTTGACGTGTCACTCACCCGCCACTCCCACGAGACATAACAGTCAACCCTAACATTAGACCCCTGAAATCCCCCTAACAATCTCCATTCAAAACTATCCTCCTCCTCCTCCTCCTCCACCACCGGCCGTTCATGTTCATCGCCATGGTCACCGGAAGCTTGCCACCTGCCTACTCTGCAATCCCCTCTCAATCCCCACCGTCCGTTAGTAACAATAACAGCAATAATAAACTTCCGGTTGACTTCAGTCCGCCTTTGATTGCCATGGTTGTAGTGGTAGCCACTGCTTTTTTAGTGGTCACTTACTCCCGTCTCATTTCTCGCCACATCCTTCCTCCTCTCCTTCGTCTTTTCCGACGTTGGAAACGCTGGCGCCGTCGTCGACGCCGCCTCCGCCGCTACCTTCCGTCCTCCAACGGCGACCCTCTCGACTCTCCTCCCTTCTACCCCTCCCCCTTCAACCATCCCATCGACTCCTTCCATATACCCTACGGCCTCGACGAGTCCGTCATTAAGGCCATCCCGCTCTCAATCTTCACTACGAAAAACAAAACCGCTGCTGTGAAGCCGTTGCAGGAGGCCAGAGATTGCGCCGTTTGCTTGTTAGAGTTTGAAGAAAACGATTACGTCCGTACACTCCCTGGTTGCTCCCACTCGTTTCACGTGGACTGTATTGATATTTGGTTGAGGTCTCACGCCAATTGTCCGTTATGTCGAGCTGGCATTTTTTCGTCGGAGTCTCCGTTTGTACCGTTTATGGCGGCAAGAATTCGGCCTAGTTTAGACGACACGTCGTTTTTCCATAACATGAGTGTTTCGCTCGAGTCTTTATCTGAAATTCCAGCTCCGGTGACAACTGCGGCAACGAACACGACGGTAAACGGTAGTGAAATCACGCCGTGTGTTGAAGAGGGGACAGTGTTAAATAGTGTTGATAACTGTAACTCTGAGGAGAGATTCAAGGGCCGTGATTTTTTGTTGAAGCGGTCGTATTCATTCGGATTCGAGCGGAGTATAGCGTCGGAAAGGATGGTAACAGAGGCAGTAACAGCGTCGCCATGGAGGTACAGGAGAGGAAGTTTCTGGAGTAAACGGCCGTCACCGTTTGGGTCTTTAACGAAACCTCGAGTATTCTCATTTAGATATTACAGAGGAATGAAATCACCCTTCTTTAGACGGAGAGGGTTTTTCCCGTTTTCAGAATCGAGCGTGAGATTCTCCGGATCATCAAGACGAAGCAAGTCAATGACGAGCCCGATGTTCCCTCGATCATCGGCGACGGCATTCTCATCTAGCCGGCTGAGGTGCGGGGATCCCGAGGCGTTATTATCACCGGACAGGTTTAACAGAAGATAATATTAAAAAACGTTTCTTGTTGCTGGTCAAAGAAGGGTGACACGTGGACGGAGAAGATGAAGAGGAGGTGGGAAATGGAGGGTCGGAGATTTGAGGAGGTGACGGTGGAGATGGGGTCGAGTGATAATTAATGGAGAGGGAGGAGAGGGAAGAGGAGAAAGAAAGAAAGGGGAGCTTTAATGGCGATGGTCTGGCAATTTGTAGAGAACATTAAATGGGTGTGGGGAGGGGCATTTAATGAAAAAAATTGACGACAGAGGGAGGGAGGGAGGGTTTTTGAGAAATGTGTGAAACGGCACCGTTTTCAGTCATGAATATGTAGAGAGTGAGAGTGAGGGTGAGGGTGAGGGTGTTCTTTGTTCAATCTTATAATATGATTTGGGAAAACATGGAATTGGGTGTGAAAAGTTGTTTTAGGGGATTATGGGGGTGGTCTTTGTATTTGACCAAATGAATGTTTATGAGTAAATACTAAATAGTAATGTTAATGCTCTTTTATGGTAAAGCTTAAATGCTTAATTAATCAAGCTGGTTTTTTTTATTAAATGTGTCTTAAATGTGTGCTTGGAATCTTGCATTTTATCTAATTGGTCCTAGGCCCACGAAAGAGTCTAGCTCGAGTAGCTCGTGTGTTGAGTCGAGTCAATGTGTCTTAATGAATGCTTGTGATCTTGCATTTTATCTAATTCGGCCTAGGTTTGCAAACGAGTTGAGCTCGAACTCGAGTAACTTGTGTGTTGAATCGAGTCAAGTTTGAGCCTAATAATACTCGACTCGAGCTCGACATATTATATAAAATTCAAAATTTATATTAATATTATATACGTAAATTAAAGTAATTAAAAATTTGAAGCCTTAAATCCCTAATGAGTCAGGTGATTCTAGCTCAACAATTAAAACTCGATCAAACTCGAGTTTCAACTATTCCAACCAAGTTAAGCTCGAGTTTCTTAATATTTGGATTGGCTTGACTAGACTGTAGTCCTAATTGAGCCAAATCTTGTTATTAGGCTTTTTTTTTTTTTATGGAGTTATGGGAATTGAGTGAGTGGGTTGAAAACCCTGAACCAAAGACGACGACATAATTGATGAGCAAGCAAAGTTTGTTAATATGAAAACAATTAAGAACAATTATGATATGCCTCAAATCCCTAATGAGCCAAGTGATTTGAGCTTGAGCCCAATTTTGACTTGGTTACAACCGAGTCGAGCTTAAACCAATCATATATCTATCAAGCTTGACAATTGAAGTTCACAAGAGATGAACATCAACTACATTTACAAACACTTCTCATTAACTTTCTCTCACAAACATGACATGTCAACTCACAATTGGTCAGCTCGCATGGGTCTCACTTGTCCAACAATAGGTCTCGCTTGACCAAGCTAATTGCAAGCTTAAACCGAACATGAATCCAATCCAAAGATAGAGTGTGAGTGGGAGGGAGTGTCTCAACATTAAATAGCCTCTCATTTTAGGTAAGGTAACAAGCCATACCCATTTTGTCATGCCCAATCCACCTACATTATTAGCTGTCTTTGAATTTATGCCCTTTCCATTGCTGTCCATTTTCTTCTACATTATATCTTAGCTACTTTTGCAGCCTCATAAACAACCAACTTTGACACCCCTTTTCTATTAAATCTATCTATTCTATGGTTATCATTATTAAGTATTTTTTTCAAAGGTTTATTTCATTTTTCTCTCATGAGATCATTTAGTATTAAACTCAACTACTTTATTTAGAAAGTATTAAACACCCCGTCGTGAGTTTTCTGATAATTCTATAAAGGGTTATTTATATATATAAATAAGGGTCATGCACCTCGACTAATCCTCCGGAGTCTTGAAGTTAACGACAGAGTAAACCCGGACTTCTTGAGTAATATATCCAAGAATCTTTATCGTCCTACCCGACCAATCAGGGGTGGTTATATGATTTTCTTCTTGCATAAACAAACTAACCATGAACAAAAAGTCTTTGTTGGTTGATTAACCTCTTGAAGTTTCATTAAAGAAGTTTAATGAAAACCAAAATGAGAAGAAATTAAGCCACAAACATTAGAAAATAATAAAAGGACATAACCATATTCACCAACCAGTCATCTACCTCCATTAATGAGAGGCAAAAGCTCCACATGTATATATATATATATTCACATCAAAACCTCCCAAAACAACCTATCACAATAAAGACCCCCATAAAAAAAAAGTACTTCAAAACCATTGGCCTTACATTAATCTTTAAAATTTATTGAAGCAGCAGCAGCAGCAGCAGCTCAACCAACTCTCCCACCCCCACCCTCCTCCTCTCAGTTTGTGTTAAATTTAATAAAGAGCTTTAGCTATAACTAGTTTTAAGTTTCAACTCTTGTCTTTGTGAAGTTCTTGAAGCTCGTTTCTTGCGCTTTTAGATGACAATGTCAGGGCCTTATACTGTGAAAGTTGAAGAAGCAAGGCAGGCGACGGGTAATAAGCCGTCGGCCGGGCCGGTTTATAGGTGCATTTATGCTAAAGATGGTCTGCTACAGAGTCCGGCCGCGTTGGAGTCTCCTTGGCAGTTCTTGAGGTATGGTTCTTGTGCTTGAAATGAACGTTACAGTTTTGATCTTTTTAGTAACCTGAAGTTTCTTTTTCTGAAAAAATGTAACTTTCTGGTTAACTCTCAAAATGCTTTCTGCAGAAGCAGATTTCATGTGTTTTTAATCCCAGTAACTTAAACAAAACAGAACAGAACAGAACAAAGATCAGAAAACAGAATAGGAAAAAACTTTGTGCAGAAGCAGATTTCACGTGTTTTTAATCCCAGAAACTTAAACAAAACAGAACAGAACAAAACCAAGATCAGAAAACAGGATAGGTAAAAAAATGCAAAACCAGTTTGGCCCATGCAGGTCTCGAACCTGCGACCTTCGCGTTATTAGCACGACGCTCTAACCAACTGAGCTAATAGGCCAGTTGGTGGCAAGCGTTGTAGATACATATTTGTCTTAATTTAAGTTTTTAAGTCTTTCTCAATGGAGTTTGATGGCTAGAACTCTGTATTTGCTGGCAGTGACACTGCCAAAAGGATCCCAAATAGCCCATTGCTGGGTCGTCGTAAACTCACTGATGAAAAGGTACAAATACTCTTCTTCTCTCTTGAATGAATTCATGTTTACAAATTTAAAGTTGAAGTTCTGTTTTGCATGTAGTCTCTATACAGACGAGTAGTGTAAAGATCACACAGAAGCCATTAGAGCTCATGAACTCTTTTTTTTTTTTTATAAAAAACTTAAATGACAAAACCATTTTGAATTTTCAGGGTGGTCCTTACATATGGCTCACTTATCAAGAGGTTTATGAAACTGCCATGCGTTTTGGTTTCTCCATCAAGAGCGTGGTGTCAATCCTGTAAGTGCCAACTTTTTTAAGAAATGAACAAGTCATATTATATGAAAACGAAATATTTAATATATCTTGTGTTTCTAGGGACAACGTTGTGGAATATATGGGTCCAATTGCCGGAATGGATCTAGCAATGGAGGTATACTTAAATTTCATATAGAAAATATTTTGCAGTGTTCAGGAATTATTCCACATTAATATGTAATTTACTGTTTCATTCATTGAAGGCCTGATCAACTTTTTTTTTTTTTTTTTTTTTTTTTTTTTGCAGGCTTGTACAAGCCAGGCTATAACATATGTAACGCTAGATGACACCCTTGGTGTGTTTTCTTTCATTATCAATGAATCTTAGGCTTGTAAAATGCAATACACGGTTGAGTTGGATTACGCCATGGAGAAACCTGACATTGTTTCTATTTCAGGTGCTAATGCAGTAGAGTTCATCATCAACCATGCTGAAGTTTCAATAGCTTTTGTTCAAGAGAACAAAATCCCAGCTGTAAGCACATGATTTGTTATCAGGAGGCTTCTTTAGTTTCTCTTCATGTACATAATTATGGAATTCTTTGTGCAGATTCTATCTTGCCTTCCAAGGTGTTCTTCAAATTTAAAAAGTAGGTCAAAATGCTACCTGTTTGAAGAACTTGAAACTTGAAAGGTTCTGTTATTTATAGTAGTTACTAATTAAACTATTGATGTTCTTCCTTCAGCTATTGTAAGCTTTGCCAAAATTTCCAGCACACAGAAGAAAGAAGCTGAAGAACTTGGCGTATCTTGCTTCTCTTGGGAGGAATTTCTACAATTGGTAAGATGTTCAACCTGCTGTAACTTTTTTTTTTGGTTACTGCGGGTGTCCAGGCAGCTTACGCATACATCGACTAGTCCCTCAACCTCGAATAAGGCTTTCAAAATAGGGTAAACCTTGCAGTCCGTGACCAATAATATTAACAGCTATTCTTGTGATTTAAACTTGAGACCACAGGGGGAGCAAAACCCTTGGCCCTAAGCCTTTACCACTCGGTCAACCCATTGTTGGTTAACCTGCTGTAACTTGGTGTTCGATTGTTGATCTTATTTGTTTTAGCTTGCAACATTGTAATCCTATCCTTTATTCACCTTTCTACAGGGAAGTTTGGATGGGGAACTTCCTCTGAAAAAGAAGACTGACATATGCACAATAATGTACACCAGTGGAACAACAGGAGAACCAAAAGGTGTTGTTCTTACTAATGAGGTGATCATGACAGAAGTACTGAGCATAGACCAATTATTTGAGATTACAGACAAAGGGGTGAGAAACCAACCACTAAATTATGTTTCTAAGCTAAATGATTATGATTTCTCCCATTGAATTTTGCCTTTTTGGCACAGTTCTTTAACCTTGCATAATTTGATGAGATTGCCTACTTATTGATTTACGATTTTCTCCACTACAGCGTTCAGAAGAGGATACATACTTCTCATTCCTTCCTTTGGCCCATATATATGATCAAACAATGGAGAACTATTGCATCTACAGGGGTTGCTCCATAGGATTTTGGCGAGGCGTAAGATGAATCTTCATTTCTTGCCATGATTTCTTCAGTTTTCTATTTAAATTTCTAGTTTAAAGCTGTGTCTAATATGGCTTTTCCTGCATATATGCTTGTAGGATGTCCGATATTTGATGGATGACATTCAGGAGCTGAAACCAACTCTATTTTGTGGGGTTCCAAGAGTTTATGATCGTATATACACTGGTATAATATACACAGAAATGAGTAAATTTTGTCTTTTTTTTAATTAATTTCAACTTTCAAGCACCCAATTTTCTGTTGACATCTAAACATTGGTCCTAAACTTGTGCTTGAAGGAATATCCAATAAAATTGCATCTGGAGGTTTATTGTCGAAGAAAGTATATGAATTTGCATATAACTAGTATGTTGTCCGATAAACCTCCTTGTCATTTTTCTTTGTTTTTCTACTGTACAAACTAACAAGAAGCTACTGCAGCAAGTTGAGCTATTTAGAGAAGGGTCTGCCACAAGACAAAGCAGCACCTAGGTTGGACAATTATGTCTTCAGTAAGGTCAGTCATATACCCTTCATCAGCTTCATTTGAATACTTCTCTTTTACATTCTAAACAAATATTAATTTTGCCAGATTCGGCAAGCATTAGGGGGAAGACTCCAAGTCATGTTATCTGGTGCCGCGCCATTGCCTAGGCATGTCGAGGAGTTTCTGAGGGTCACTAGTGGCACTCCTTTAACACAAGGATATGGTATAGCAGAATGATTCTTCTTCTCTGTACTTTAGGAAAAATACAGAAGATTTCTCCATCATGTCTTCAAAGGCACTGGACTTTGCATAATTTGATAAACAAAATCATATTATATCGATCACTCGTTTAAGGTTTCTCTATTTCATCTTTTATCCTTACATGTAATGTTTTAAACATGTAGGTCTTACTGAAAGTTGTGGTGGGTGTTTTACATCCTTAGCCAATGTATTTCCCATGATGGGAACTGTTGGGGTCCCTATCACAACCATTGAAGCAAGGCTTGAGTCAGTGCCGGAGATGGGATATGATGCCCTTTCCAGCATGCCACGGGGAGAAATTTGCCTCAGGGGAACCACCTTGTTCTCAGGTTACTACAAGCGGCCAGATATAACCAAAGAAGTTGTTGTTGATGGCTGGTTCCATACAGGTAAAAAGGGCTTCGCCTTGCGTATGCTCAAACTCGAACTTTTCACTAAGACTTGAGAAACCAATATGGGCACATAAAAAATTCATCTGAATGTTTAATAGTTACTTCCTTGAAAAACATGTACATGGACATAATTATAAGAGATTTGCAGGTGACATTGGAGAATGGCAACCAAATGGAGCAATGAAAATAATTGACAGAAAAAAGAATATATTCAAGCTGTCGCAAGGTGAATATGTTGCTGTGGAGAGCATCGAAAACATATACTTGCAATGCCCTCTTATTGCATCAGTATGTTTCTGCATCCCTTTGGCTGAACATTCTATCTTTAGAATTAACATAGAATAAATTACTGCTATATGCCTAACAAATGTTAATCAATAACTTTACACAAATGCACAGATATGGGTGTATGGGAACAGTTTCGAGTCATTTCTTGTTGCTGTGGTGGTCCCTGACAAAAAGGCACTTGAGGAATGGGCGGCAAACCACCTTCCTGAGGCAGTTGATTATAAATCACTGTGCAAAAACCTCAAGGCAAGGAAATACATTTTAGATGAGCTGAATAGCACTGGTCAGAAACACAAGGTATGTGGATTATTTTCCTGAAGTTCCTTCTTCCTAGTTTCATGATCAATTATCCTCATTCTCATCTGACCTGATCGACAACCTGCAGCTTCGAGGTTTTGAGATGTTAAAAGCTGTTTACTTGGAACCAACTCCTTTTGACATAGAGAGGGACCTAGTTACTCCAACATTTAAACTCAAGAGGCCTCAATTGCTCAAATACTACCAGGTTTGCTTTATTCTCTTTCTTGAGGCATATTGATTTTCTTAGTTAAAAATAGTGTAAGTTCAACCATGTCTCATTAACTTTGAAATATCTTATGCCACTGTCGTCTGCAGAACCAGATTGATGAACTGTACAGTGAAGCTAAGGAACCGAAGGTATAAGAAGCTGTTTTGGAAGCTTCAAAACCTGATGTTCAGATATACAGATCTCTAAAAGTTTCCTGCTTCTGTTTCCCATTTAGTCTTGTTCGTATACCTTAGTGAAAGAGAATACCCGACAACTGAAGTGACTTGGAATGCTGATCCTTGTTATTATTTGTAGATAAATAAGAATGTTTGAAGCTTTCTAATATGTGAAATTATGTAAACACTAGTCAAATTTTAAAACTACAAAGATGTTTTCTGCTGTCATTTTCTTTCCTCTAAGGCTAAAAAAGCTTGCAAATGCCTACCTTTTACTTTCATCAATATAAAGTTGGTCAAGAATGCATCAATATAGAGAACCCAAGACCTGCAATTTTGAAGAAATTTATAGGTAAACGAGGAAACTAGATTGAAAAAGGGTTACTTATTAGAGACAGTGAGTTTCAAGTAGTTACTTTCACCAGACGTTCAAAGATGCATCGAGATAGACCGACACAAGCCCATTCCCATATGCATGCTTGCTTAGCAAGGTGTAATGAATCCCATATGAGAAGCGTATTGGGGAGATCTTGGGCTTATAAATGAAGGGAGTGTCTCCACCTAATAGGTTAGCTTTTTGGGTATGAAACTCCCAGCCCGTGACAAGTGGTATTAGAGCAGACCTGATTTGTCTTTCGATGTCCTGTCAAGCGCCCACGTAGGGGTGTCCACGTGTGATTATGGGTCCACACAAGAGTGAGGTGGACGGGTAGGCAGAGGGCCCTACCTATGACCAGGGCATCACAGGATTGGGTAGGAGAGAATGTAACGAATCCCACATCGGAAGTGTATTAGGGAGGTCCTAAGCTTATAATAGATTAGCCTTTTGGGTGTGAAACTCCTAGCCCGTGACAAAGGGTGGGCTGAATCTTGCATTTAGGGAATCAAAGGATTTTGAATCTTCCTAAAGTTGTTAAAGGGGAAATGTTGCATGTCGGAAAACCAGTAGCATAAATACAAAACCAGAACCCAGAAGTACTTATAATACATGAATGATTGAAAGTTTCAAACAAGGTTCCCTTTCCACATTTTTACAGAACATAGCAATGACAATGAATTTGTAAACATAACAAAAATAATGGTAAAAGAAGGCAATTCATGACATTTGCAGACTTCAAAACAATGCAGAGGTGGTTGAGAGAGTGTCTATATAAAGTCAGTTATCAATGCCCATGCTGGATAGACCAATAAAATGATAATGCCAACCGAGTTTGATATGCCATTGGCTCTTGTGAAGGAATTTCTGAACCCACCAGATGCTCGGATGTGTTCTTGCAGCAAATAACAAGCGATGACAAGACATATCGCCACACCAATCCAGCTGCCCCTTAAGGTGCTTGCAAATAAACTGGGAGCCACCACTAGCAGAAGAATCAAAGCACCTGGCATTTCCAGCCAATCTGCAATTACAGACATAAACACTGAGCCAAACATATTCGGGTAATGATCTCTATTGGTGTGCTGGAGTTGTCGACTAATTTTACACTAATGGGTTACGTAGACGCAATCAAGGGTCCCATTAAACGAGAGAAATGAGGAAATATTGCAATAATATTGACTCAGCTGAACGTAGTCTATATTAGGTGAATTAGGATAAATCATGCGTATTATTCTCTTTACTGTTTGTGATTTGTTTGTCTGTTATATTGGTTTCGTATTTGTCTCTATTTTGTTCACGGTGAACTCCAAAGTGAAGCATATGTCTGCATCATAACAGTTCAAACACAATCAAGTATAACAGTGACTAAAACCAGTGTTTTACCTGGAAAACGACTAGGGAAGAAAAGGCGAAGCACAACAGCAATGAATGCAATCCATCTTCCTATTTCTCCCCTGCATAGGAAAGCAATTTGTTAGCTCCAAAGAAGTGGAAATTGAAGTCATGGGAAATAGGTGCTTCATATTAAAAGGAAGATCACCTGAATATGTTGAAAATTAGTGAAGGAAGACTAAAGAAGATATAAGGGATCAGTAATCCTGTAAGAATGTTAGTTCGCCAATGCGTTCGGTCCAAGACCAACAGGTAACTGCAGCAATTAAACAAACAGTTTAAGTTAACGATGAAAATATTATAAGAAAAACATATATATATATATATATAACCAGAGTCAATGGCAACTTCATGAAAATGTAACAGATCACAGAGGGGACATAGAAGAAAAGGTTTAGCAGAAAAGACTTTAACTACAGACAAATCAAATCCCTCTGTGAGGCTAAACAAACAATCCCAGAAGTTAAAAGCAATCAAATTCTATCTCTATGATCACAGCAGATTAAATTTATAAAAACGAAATCCCTTCAATGATCTAACAGGTTTTTAAGAAAATCGATCCACTAAGGAATTGAAAGATGAAATTTCTGGTCAACAGTCCCATTTCTCCATAAATTTTGCCATTCAGAAAAAAAAAAGATTAAAAGCAACAGAACAAGAGACAGATTGAGAGAGCATACATTGCAGCAAAAGAAGCAATCCATTCAAGAATAGAGGTTCCAAATCCCATTAATCCGAGCTTGATGCCATGATTAACCAACTTCTTAGCAGCCACAGCAAGCTCTTGCATATCAGAGTTGATCAAATCCTTCGTAACCTGTTCACTTCTCATTGCCAAGTAACCACTTTTCTTTCCCACCATTTTTCTTCTTCTTCTTCTTCTTCTTCTTAAGGTTTCTGATCTAAACACCCAACTCAGAAGTTTCAAGCAGCGAAGTTTACTATAGAGACGCAAGGTTTGACTGTTGGTTTGTGAAGACAACGTAATCTAATTGACCCAATCCAAATTTCTTCCCGCCACGTGGAGGCGGGAAGTTGAACTACATTATTGCTGACAGTTGTCCATTGTTACCGAACTTTTAAAAATATGAAATAATCCGTTAACCGGCAATTATTTGGTGGCGGTAACATTAGCTTATGGACATGTGTATAAGTTTACCAGAAGAGTTTGGAAGGAAAGGGACATTATTATTATTATTATTATGATAAGATCAAGGTTAGCAATATGGTCAAACAATTACTCTTACTGTTTTAAGTAAGATAATAATTAATTTATAATAAAACAAGAATATCTTCAAAACACTATTCCACCAACATGGGGCGGTGGATTCATACTATTGTAGGATATTGTAGGATTGGCCTATAAAGTGTTCAATTCTTCTATCTTCCATCTTCCATGTTATAAAGAGTAATACTAGTCTTACAAACAGGTATACAAATAGAAAATCCATACCTTTAAAAGAAGGAAAAAAGAGAGAGAAAGAGAGAGGTAATCATTAATTTTAAGGGTAAGGATTGTCTCTTTATATGGTTCTTTGTATGCCTCTTTGTAAGGCTAGTCTTATTCTGTTATAAATCCCCACCGAATTAGAGATATTGTAGATAGACGTATAATATCAGGTTCGATTTCTCACATGAGCATCTATGATTTAAGTGGAAGGTCGTGAAGTGAGTTGTGCGTTGCGTTAGTTACTTTTAAGAATTAGTCGATATGCACGTAAGCTAGCTCAAATATTTTGGATATAAAAAACTGTTAGTCTCCCTTGAGAACTAGCCGAGGCATGTGTAAACTGGCTTGAGCGCCTATTTTGGTTATAAAAAAATCGTTAATCTCTCTAGAGAATTAGTCGAAGTAAGCGTAAAGTAACTCAAATACTCTGTTTTATTAAAAAAAAAAAAAAAGTTATTAATCTCCGCAAAGTATATGCAATTTGCCTTGACTTTTGAAGGAAAATAAAGAATTATGACCCAAAAAGAGAGCTCTTCTGCCTGAAGAGTTTGGAAGGAAAGGGACATTATTATTATTATGATAAGATCAAGGTTAGCAACATAGTCAAACAATTACTCTTCTAAGTAAGATAATAATTAGTTTATAATAAAACAGTATAAAAAACAATTAATTAATAAGAATATCTTCGAAACACCATTCCACCCACATGGGGCAGTGGATTCATACTATTGTAGGATTGGCCTATAAAATGTTTAATTCTTCCATCATCCATGTTATAAATACCCACATATCTATGGGTAGTCCAGATAGTTAGAATAAATTAGGGATAGTATAAATAGATGCATGATCTTAGATTTAATTTCCCACCTGAATATCTGCAATTTAGGTGGAGGCCATGACATGGGTTGTTGAGCTAATCCTCCCTTGAGATTAATCGAGGTGTATGTTCCGCTGGTCTTTTCTAAGAATTGTTGAAGTACGCGTAAAGTGGCCTAACATGAGAACAAAACTGCTATTCTTCTGAGAACTAATCGAGGTGAGTGTAAGCTAGCCCAACACCTACTTTGGTTTAAAAAAACAATTAGTGTTTCTCTAAGGATTAGTCGAGGTGCACGTAACTGACCCCAAACATCGTGGTTACAAAAAAAAAAAAAAAAAAAAAAAAAAATTGTTATAATCCCCATTAACTACTGCAATTTGCCTTGACTTTAGAATGAACCAATGCCCCCATGGAAAATAAGAGTTATGACCCAAAAGAGGCTCTTTTGCCCAAACTCTCAACATTCTTCACCTCATCACATCTCCCTCTTTAGCCTTCAACTTTACCCAAAAAAACCTCTGTTAAAAACCGGACCGGCCAATCAGACCAGGACCCGACAGCTTCTCCGGTCCGGTTCAGTCTTGGAGATTTTTGTAATATTTCAAATTGGTTATTTTATAGGTGTTTTGGAATATGTCAAAGTTTAGGGATTAATTGGTATTTTTTTGGGCATTTTGAAATAAATGAAAATTTAGTGATTAGTTTGAACTTTTGGGAGTTTTTTTAATATATTAAAATTTAGAATTTATATGTAATTTTTAAAAATAAAATTCGCTAACAATCGTCCAATCGGCCAGTCTAACCGGTTGGATCGTTGAACCATGACCCGCCAGCAAAACGGGTTACCCTCAGGTCCGGGTTTTAAAACAATGCAAAACCTTGGAATCCTGTAGTTCCATAATCACAACCTCACTGTCTTCTTCAATTGGTCTAATTTGCACTCCTGTTCGTAAAACCATCCACAATGGACCTGCTGATTCTGCAGATTCTACAATACACAAGTACTCAAAAAAGTGTTCACCAGAATAACCATCACTTTAAATCTGATGATTTCAAAGAAGAAGGTTTAAATAAGAGGAGGACTGATAGTAACGCTTTGAAAATAAATCAGCATACAACTTGATGATATGGTGACATTCCAATCTTTGAAGGTCTTCATGTGAGAGAGTTCAACTGGCACAAGCATCAACATGGAGATTTATCTGAAAATTTTCTCATCTGCAGCTGATCTCCATGAACCTTAGGGATAATAAAATCAAAGATTGATGGTATTGACTTGCAATTTCGACCAAAAGGTCTGTCGAATTCTTCTTCCCTCGGATATCAAGAGAAGAAAATTGAAATGGCAATCGAATGTGATAATTACTTCTGTTCAAAGCGGACTAGGGTTCATGCAGAATATATAATATATATATATATTTTTTTTTTTGGTATATCTCAGCTTTTGTTCTTTACAAATACTCAAATCCAAGTAATATAAAGAAGCTTTGGCAATTCATGAGATTTGCAGACTTCAAACAATGCAGAGGCAGCTGGAGACTGCCTATATGAATCAGTTATCAGAGCCCATACTGGATAGATCATAGAATGACAATACCAACCGAGTTTGATATGCCATTGCTTTTGTGAAGGAATTTTTGAACCCCACCGATGCTCGGAGTGTTCTTGCAGCAAATAACAAGCTTGGCAAGACATATTGCGACACACATCCAGCTGTCCCTTAAGGTATCTGCAAATAAACTGGAGCCACCACTATCAGAAAAAAAGCAAAGCCCCCGGCTCTCCAGCCAAGCTGCAATTACAGAACAACAATGGCCAAATATTTCAGGTTATGATCTCTTTCTTAAGTACAAGATATGATGCATAAGAGATCAAACAACTTGTAGACTCAATCCGGTATAATCGTCTGGGCAAAGTTCCAGATGATGAACTCAAAAAGTTAAGCATCTATTCACATCATAAAAGAAAGTTCAAACACAATCAAGTAAAAACAGTAACTAAAAACCAGGTTTTTACCTGGAAAATGTCTTGGGAAAAAAGGCGCAGCAAAATAACAATGAAAGAGATCCATTTTGAAATGTCTCCCAGATAGCAAAGCTTTTTACACCAAAGAAGTGGATTTTGAAGTCATAGGAACGTTGCTACTTCCAAAGGAAAATCACCGTAATATTTCAAAAATTAGCGAAGGAAGACTAAGAAGATATAAGGGATCAGTAATGCTGTAAGTCTAGTTCTCCAATGCGTTCGGTCCAAGACCAGCAATAACTGCAGCAAGTAGACAAATAGTTCTCGGATTAGTTAGATACGTAAACTGATCCGGACACCCCGATTATTTAAAAAAACAAAAAAAAAAAAAAAAGTGGACAAAGTTTAAATCTCATAAAGGTTCTCAAGTCGCAATTACATCATCTGCAAAAGAACTACAACTTTAATTCAATGATCTATCAATAAAACACACCCTTCCAATTTTTTCCAAGAAAATCGATCCTAATATATTGAAAAAAATTCGGGTCAGTTTCCAGTAACACAACTCAATATTTCAATTTCTCCTTAAATTTTACCATTCAAAAAAGTCAAAGCAAAATACAGCAACAGATTGAGAGAGAACAACATTGCAGCAAAGAGGCAATCCATTCAAGAATAGAGGTACCAAATCCATTAATCCACCAAGCTTGATGGCATGAATAGCCAGCTTCTTCGCAGCAACAAAGCCTTGCACATCAGTGCTGAGCAAATCTCTCCTAACTTGTTCACTTCTCATTACCAAGTAACCACTCTTCTTTCCCATCATTCTTTTTTCCCTTTTCTCTTCTGGGTTTTGATCTAAACACAGAAGTCAGAAGCTTTCATAGAGTGCAGAAGTCACCATAGAGACGCAAGCTTTGACTGTATACAGGCAATTCAATTGGCACATTCGGAATTTTCAGCTGCTACCGAACTTTTAAACAGAATAAATTACTCTAAACCGTAATCCATCCAAAATAGCTCTGGATCGCCTGCCGTCAGCCTTCTTCCTCAAGTCTACCGGTTCAATCCCCTCCACCAAACCCGATGCAGCCCCAGTGCCCCCACGCCACTAATGTGATAAAACTCAATTACAATATTGTTAATAATTTTGTTTTATCAAAATTATTTCTAAAACCCTGAATGGTCTACATATGGAGACAAAATCGATTCCTTCAATGAACAGAACATGGAAGACAAATGACAATTAGCTCAAGAAATAAATAAAGAATAAAATTATATTATCAATCGCAAATTAACCAAAGGAGACACCAATCGAATATTTAAAAGAGTTCATTTTCAAGACATTAATCCCCATTCCCCACCACCGTTAAAGACCACCATCTAACACCAAACTGTAAAACAGTAAAACCCATCCACAAAATCCAACTCCAAATGACTAATACATCCAGTACCCTAACCCATCTACCCCATCCAATTCCAAATAAAAAATAACCCACAAATGTAACACAAATCACTAAAATCCATTCTCTACAGCAAATACAAACAAAGAAAAAAAATATTAATTTAAAATAAAAGGAAGAAGAAAGTGAGGAAAGAGTCGGTTTTCCGTTAACATTAACCATAGTGTAACAGTTGACAGATACACGGGGTTGAGAGCTATTTTTGGAATGAGAGGGGTTTATTAGAAAAGGTATATATCTCAGGCGGTTCAAAGAATTTTTCTTTAAATATGGAATACATTATACATATTTTTTAATTAAAATATTATGAATTTTTTTTTTTTCTTTTGAAAGGGGTTGGTATTTTAAGTAGACAATTATTTGGTTGTGGCGTATACTTTTAGTAAAGAGTTTCACGGAAAGGGACATTATTATTAGGGTTTAATAATATTTTCTTTTGAAAGGGATTAGGAAGTCTTGAGCTTATAAGGAGGGACCCTCAATCTAATAGGTTGCTTTTTAGGTGGGAAACCCTAGCCTTGACAAGTGGTATCATTGCAAACCCAATCGACCTTTCCTGTCTCATTAAGCAGCCATGCAGAGGGCCATCCACGTGTGATTGTGGATTCACTCGAGAGTAAGGTCATAGGTAGCGGAAGCCCCACCTGTGACGAAGTATCACAAGGATTGAGTGGGGAAGAAGTCGCAGATCCCACATTGGAAGTAAATTGGGGACGTTTTGGACTATAGAGGAGGTCCCTCCTTCTAATAAGTTGCCTTTTGGGTGTAAACTTCAGTCTACTTGATGAACTTTCACGAATTTATTAGTATCTAGAAAAAGGCAATAGCAAACAATTAAACCATAAAAAATATATGCTTATACCTCAAAACTTGGAATCTTGTAGTTCCATAATCACACACCTCATTGTCTTCTTTAATTGGTCTTTTGCAGTCTTGTTCAAAACTACCCACAATGCATATGAAGATTCTGCAGACTCTACGACTAGAATACTCAAATTAATATTCTTGATAACCTAGCTTCTCTGAAATCTGTATGATTTGTTGTGCCACAATCGATTGTCACCCCTGAAACCATTACTTCACCACGAGAATTAACAGCATAAAACTCAATCTTCAAAATGATTAATATCAAAATATGACTGTGCCATGTTTCTACTTGACGAAATAGAGGCAACAACAGGACACAAATAACAGTAAAACAAATCAAATAGTAACAAGAAAATAACACGCGCGATTTACCCTGGTTCACCCAATGTGGGCTATGTCCAGCTGAGTCATTATTTCAATATGCCTCACCTCTCTCGTTCACAATGATGAATTGCCCTATGATTTGCTATCACTCCATAAAAGAGAAAGTATGTTTATATACTAGGTTTAAGAGACTAAACCTAGTTTTACAAGATTCCTATTCCTAAGCCCAACCCAATAAATTAGTAACTTAAAGACCTACAGTGGTTATACATAAGAAGCCTAAAACCGCCTACGAACTCGAGGGCGTTGCCCCGCACCCCCGCCCACTCACCGGCAACGGACCTCCGAATACGTCTACGCTACCCATCAATGCTGAAGTAGTCGACAACTCCAACATTCTCCCACTTGGCGAATACTTCACACAATGAAGGCCCACCACAAACACCCTGTAACTTTGCCTAACACAACCTTGGTAAGAAAATCTGCACATTAACAATGTCTAACACCTTCTCTAACACACACATTTTTCCTCCACCTTTTGCCTGATGAAATGGTATTGTATGTCATGTGTTTTGATCGCGAATGAAAGGCAGGATTCTTGGAAGTAAATAGCTCCTTGATTGTCACACCCAATCTTCACAGCATCAAGCTTGAAACCAAGCTCTAAACTCAATCTTCGAGCCACTTAGCGTCCTTGCCAGCATGTGTCAATGCCATGTATTCTGCCTCAGTCGATGACAAAGCCACAGTACTTTGCCTTTTACTCATCCAACAAATAGCAGCACCAAATAAAGAGAATACATACCCACTTGTGGAACGCCTACTATCGAGATCACCTCCCCAATCAACATCCACAAAACCTATCACATCTAGCTCATCCCCGGTCGCCATGCCTCTATAACATAATGATAAATCCGAGGTCCCACGCAGATATCTAAGAACAATGTTTTAAAACCTGGCCCGGCCTGGCTGGTTCAACCGGGACCCGGAAGCTTCAACGGGCCGGGTTTAATTTTTTCCTATTCATCCAATACCCTAGAATTTTCGATGATGATCGACGAACAATTAACTGTCGGCATGTTGGGGCTTTTGAAGATCAATGTCCGGTGAATGTAATGGTGGTGAAAGAGTTGATTTCCTGTGAGTAAATCGACCGGAAATCGAACAAAATTGGCAGCGGCAACGATGAGATTTTTCCGGTGATTGACAGGGCTAATGACTGTGGGGTGAGGTGGGTTTTGGTCGGAAAGAAAAGGGGAGTAATTCTGGGGTGATGGGGAGGGTTGTTGTTGCCAGAATCAATGGTATCTGGCCTAGAATGCTGATGTCAACGTCGGTGAGATCTGGCCGAAATCGAACCTATTTCGGCCAGATCTTAGGTATATTTTGATGGAAATGGACTCAAGGGACGATTGGAGTTGCATCTGGGGTGTCGCTGCCGCTAATCAGTTGCCGGTGGATTTGTAGTTGGGGTGTATTTGATAAATTTCAAACCTATAGGGACTTCATTGTAATTTTTAGGGGTATATTTGCTTAATTTTAAAATTTTTTGTCAACCAGTTTGACCGCCAACCAGTCAACCGGGACCCAGAAGCTTTGCCAGGTTTCACCCTGGGTTGGGTTTTAAAACATTGTCTAAGAACCCTCTTTACAGCACTCCAATGTTACTTATCAGGATTTGACATAAAGCGACTCAAAACTCCCACTGCTTGTGCAATATCAGGTCGCGTGCACACCATGACATACATCAAACTACCTACAACACTCGCATATGGCACATGTGTCATTTCTTCAGCATCTTCCTCAGACTTAGGACATTTTTGGTGTGGCGTATAGTTTAGTAAAAGAGTTTCAACGGAAAGGGACATTATTATTAGGGTAATTAATATTTTTCTTTTGAAAGGAGTAGGGAAGTCTTGAGCTTATAGGGAGTGACCCATATCTAATAGGTTAGCTTTTTAGGTGGGAAACCCCTAGCCTATGACAAGTGGTATCATTGCAAACCCAATCGACCTTTTGTTCTCATTAAGCAGCCATGCAGAGGGCCATCCACGTGTGATTGTGGATTCACTCGAGAGTAAGGTCGATAGGTAGACAGGAAGCCCCACCTGTGACGAGAGTATCACAAGGATTGAGGGGAAGAATGTCGCAGATCCCACATTGGAAGTAAATTGGGGCGTTTTGGACTAATAGGGAGGAGTCCCTCCTTCTAATAGTTAGCCTTTTGGGTGTAAAACTTTAGTCTACTTGATGAACTTTCACGAATTTATTAGTATATCTAGAAAAAAAGGCAATAGCAAACAATTATACCATAAAAAAAATATATGCTTATACCAAAACTTGGATCTTGTAGTTCCATAATCCACACCTCATTGTCTTCTTTAATTGGTCTAATTTGCAGTCTTTCGTAAACTACCCACAATGCATATGAAGATTCTGCAGACTTACGACATAGAAGTACTCAAAGTATATATTCTTTGATAACCAGTAGCTTCTCTGAAATCTGTATGATTTGTTGTGCCACAATCGGATGTCACCCCTGAAAACCATTACTTCAACCAGAGAATTAACAGCATAAAACTCAATCTTCAAAATGATTAATATCAAAATAATGACTGTGCCATGTTTCTACTTGAACGAAATAGAGGCAACAACAGGAACAAAATATAACAGTAAAACAAATCAAATAGTAAACAAAGAAAATAACACGCGCGATTTACCCTGGTTCACCCAATGTGGGCTATGTCCAGCTGAGTCAAATTATTGCATATGCCTACCTCTCTCGTTCACAATGAATGAATTGCCCTATGATTTGCTATCACTCCATAATAAGAGAAAAGTATGTTTATATACTAGGTTTAAGAGACTAAACCTAGTTTTACAAGGATTCCTATTCCTAAGCCCAACCCAATAAAGAATTAGTAACTTAAAAGAAACCTACAGTGGTTATACATGAAGAAGCCTAAAACCGCCTACGAACTCGAGGGCGTTGCCCCGCAACCCCGCCCACTCACCGGGCAACGGGACCTCCGAATACGTCTACGCTACCCATCAATGCTGAAGTAGCGACAACTCCAACATTCTCCCACTTGGCGAATACTTCACACAATGAAGGCCCACCTCATCAACACATGTAAACTTTGCTAAGCTCAACCTTGGTAAGAAAATCTGCAGCATTAACAGTCTATCAACCTTCTCTACAACACCAATTTTCCTCCACCTTTTGCTGATGAAATGGTATTGTATGTCAATGTGTTTTGATGCGAATGAAAGGCAGGATTCTTGGCTAAGTAAATAGCTCCTTGATGTCACACCCAATCTTCACAGCATCAAGCTTGAAACCAAGCTCTAAACTCAATCTTCGAAGCCACATACTTTACAAATACTCAAATACAAGTAATATAAAGAAGCTTTGGCAATTCATGAGATTTGCAGACTTCAAACAATGCAGAGGCAGCTGGGAGATTGCCTATATGAAATCAGTTATCAGAGCCCATACTGGATAGATCAATAGAATGACAATACCAACCGAGTTTGATATGCCATTGGCTTTTGTGAAGGAATTTTTGAACCCACCGGATGCTCGGATGTGTTCTTGCAGCAAATAACAAGCGATGGCAAGACATATTGCGACGCCAATCCAGCTGTCCCTTAAGGTGTCTGCAAATAAACTGGGAGCTACCACTATCAGAAGAAGCAAAGCCCCCGGCATCTCCAGCCAAGCTGCAATTACAGAACAAACAATGAGCCAAATATATTCAGGTTATGATCTCTTTCTTAAGTACAAGATATGATGCATAAGAGATCAAACAACTTGTAGACTCAATCCGGTTATAATGTCAGTCTGGGCAAAGTTCTCAGATGATGAACTCAAAAAGTTAAGCATCTATTCACATCATAAAAGAAAGTTCAAACACAATCAAGTAAAAACAGTGACTAAAAACCAGGGTTTTACCTGGAAAATGTCTTGGGAAGAAAAGGCGCAGCACAATAACAATGAAAGAGATCCATTTTGAAATGTCTCCCCTGAATGGCAAAGCAATTTATTAGCACCAAAGAAGTGGATTTTGAAGTCATAGGAAACAGTTGCTACATTTCCAAAGGAAAATCACCTTAATATTTCAAAAATTAGCGAAGGAAGACTAAAGAAGATATAAGGGATCAGTAATGCTGTAAGAATCTTAGTTCTCCAATGCGTTCGGTCCAAGACCAGCAAATAACTGCAGCAAGTAGACAAATAGTTCTCGAGGATTAGTTAAGATACATGTAAACTGATCCGGACACTCCCGATTATTTAAAAAAAACAAAAAAAAAAAAAAAAAGTGGACAAATAGTTTAAATCTCATAAAGGTTCTCAAGTCTGCAATTACATCATCTGCAAAAGAACTACAACTTTAATTCAATGATCTAACAAGTAAAAACACAACCCCTTCCAATTTTTTCCAAGAAAATCGATCCAATAAGTAATTGAAAAATCAAATTTCTGGGTCAAGTTTTCCAGTAACACAACTCAATATTTCATATTTCTCCTTAAATTTTACCATTCAGAAAAAAGATTCAAAGCAAAATACAGCAAGAAACAGATTGAGAGAGAACATACATTGCAGCAAAAGAGGCAATCCATTCAAGAATAGAGGTACCAAATCCCATTAATCCACCAAGCTTGATGGCATGAATAGCCAGCTTCTTCGCAGCAACAAGAAGCTCTTGCACATCAGTGCTGAGCAAATCTCTCCTAACTTGTTCACTTCTCATTACCAAGTAACCACTCTTCTTTCCCATCATTCTTTTTTCCCTTTTCTCTTCTGGGTTTTGATCTAAACACAGAAGTCAGAAGCTTTCATAGAGTGCAGAAGTTCACCATAGAGACGCAAGCTTTGACTGTATACAGTGCAATTCAATTGGCACATTCGGAATTTTCAGCTGCTACCGAACTTTTAAAATAGAATAAATTACTCTAAACCGTAATCCATCCAAAAATAGCTCTGGATCGCCTGCCGTCAGCCTTCTTCCTCAAGTCTACCGGTTCAATCCCCTCCACCGAACCCGATGCAGCCCCAGTGCCCCCACACCACTAATTGGGATAAGAACTCAAATTACAATATTGTTAATAATTTTGTTTTATCAAAATTATTAATCTAAAACCCTGAATATAATCCTCCATGGTCTATATATGGAGACAAAAATCGATTCCTTCAATGAACAAGAACATGGAAGACAAATGACAATTAGCTCAAGAAATAAATAAAGAATAAAAATTTATATTATGCAATCGCAAATTAACCAAAGGAGACATATCACATCGAATATTTAAAAGAGTTCATTTTCAAGACATTAAATCCCCATTCCCCACCACCGTTAAAGACCACCATCTAACACCAAACTGTAAATAACAGTAAAACCCATCCACCAAAATCCAACTCCAAATGACTAATAATCATCCAGTAACCCTAACCCATCTACCCGCATCCAATTCCAAATAAAAAAATAACCCACAAATGTAAAACAAAATCACTAAAATCCATTCTCTACAGCAAATACAAAATCAAGAAAAAAAATAATTAATTTAAAATAGAAAAAGGAAGAAGAAAAGTAGAGGAAAGAGTCGGTTTTCTCTGTTAACATTAACCATAGTGTTAACAGTTGACAGATAACGGGGGTTGAGAGCTATTTTTGGAATGAGAGGGGTTTATTAGAAAAGGTATATATCTCAGGCGGTTCAAAGAATTTTCTTTTTAAAATATGGAATAACCAGATTATACAATAATTTTTTAATTAAAAAATAATTATGAATTTTTTTTTTTCTTTTGAAAGGGGTTGGTATTTTTAAGTAGACAATTATTTGGTTGTGGCGTATACGTTTAGTAAAAGAGTTTCAACGGAAAGGGACATTATTATTAGGGTTTAATTAATATTTTTCTTTTGAAAGGGATTAGGGAAGTCTTGAGCTTATAAGGGAGTGACCCTCAATCTAATAGGTTAGCTTTTTAGGTGGGAAACCCCTAGCCTATGACAAGTGGTATCATTGCAAACCCAATCGACCTTTCCTGTCTCATTAAGCAGCCATGCAGAGGGCCATCCACGTGTGATTGTGGATTCACTCGAGAGTAAGGTCGATAGGTAGACAGGAAGCCCCACCTGTGACGAGAGTATCACAAGGATTGAGTGGGGAAGAATGTCGCAGATCCCACATTGGAAGTAAATTGGGGACGTTTTGGACTAATAAGGGAGGAGTCCCTCCTTCTAATAAGTTAGCCTTTTGGGTGTAAAACTTTCAGTCTACTTGATGAACTTTCACGAATTTATTAGTATCTAGAAAAAAAGGCAATAGCAAACAATTAATACCATAAAAAAAATATATGCTTATACCTCAAAACTTGGAATCTTGTAGTTCCATAATCACACACCTCATTGTCTTCTTTAATTGGTCTAATTTGCAGTCTTGTTCGTAAAACTACCCACAATGCATATGAAGATTCTGCAGACTCTACGACATAGAAGTACTCAAAGTATATATTCTTTGATAACCAGTAGCTTCTCTGAAATCTGTATGATTTGTTGTGCCACAATCGGATTGTCACCCCTGAAAACCATTACTTCACCACGAGAATTAACAGCATAAAACTCAATCTTCAAAATGATTAATATCAAAATAATGACTGTGCCATGTTTCTACTTGAACGAAATAGAGGCAACAACAGGAACAAAATATAACAGTAAAACAAATCAAATAGTAAACAAAGAAAATAACACGCGCGATTTACCCTGGTTCACCCAATGTGGGCTATGTCCAGCTGAGTCAATATTATTGCAATATGCCTCACCTCTCTCGTTCACAATGAATGAATTGCCCTATGATTTGCTATCACTCCATAATAAGAGAAAAGTATGTTTATATACTAGGTTTAAGAGACTAAACCTAGTTTTACAAGGATTCCTATTCCTAAGCCCAACCCAATAAAGAATTAGTAACTTAAAAGAAATCCTACAGTGGTTATACATGAAGAAGCCTAAAACCGCCTACGAACTCGAGGGCGTTGCCCCCGCAACCCCCGCCCACTCACCGGGCAACGGGACCTCCGAATACGTCTACGCTACCCATCAATGCTGAAGTAGTCGACAACTCCAACATTCTCCCACTTGGCGAATACTTCACACAATGAAGGCCCACCTCATCAACACACCATGTAAACTTTGCTAAGCTCACAACCTTGGTAAGAAAATCTGCAGCATTAACAAGTCTATCAACCTTCTCTAACAACACCAATTTTTCCTCCACCTTTTGCCTGATGAAATGGTATTGTATGTCAATGTGTTTTGATCGCGAATGAAAGGCATGATTCTTGGCTAATTAAATAGCCCCTTGATTGTCACATCCAATCTTCACATCATCAAGCTTGAAACCAAGCTCTAAAATCAATCTTCGAAGCCACATACCTTCCTTGCCAGCATGTGTCAATGCCATGTATTCTACCTCAGTCGATGACAAAGCCACAGTACTTTGCCTTTTACTCATCCAACAAATGGCAGCACCAAATAAAGAGAATACATACCCACTTGTGGAACGCTTACTATCGAGATCACCTCCCCAATCAACATCCACAAAACCTATCACATCTAGCTCATCCCCGGTCGCCACGCCTCTATAACATAATGATAAATCCGAGGTCCCACACAGATATCTAAGAACAATGTTTTAAAACCTGGCCCGGCCTGGCCGATTCAACCGGTTCAATCGGGACCCGGAAGCTTCAACGGGCCGGGTTTAATTTTTTCCTATTCATCCAATACCCTAGAATTTTTGATGATGATTGGCGAACAATTAACTGTCGGCATGTTAGGGCTTTTGAAGATCAATGTCCGGTGAATGTAATGGTGGTGAAAGAGTTGATTTCCGGTGAGTAAATCGACCGGAAATCGAACAAAATTGGCAGCGGCAACGATGAGATTTTTCCGGCGATTGACAGGGCTAATGACGGTGGGGTGAGGTGGGTTTTGGTCGAAAAGAAAAGGGGAGTAATTCTGGGGTGATGTGGAGGGTTGTTGTTGCCGGAATCAATGGGATCTGGCCTAGAATTCCGTCGTCGACGTCGGTGAGATCTGGCCAAAATCGAACCTATTTCGGCCAGATCTTGGGTATATTTTGATGGAAATGGACTCAAGGGACGATTGGAGTTGCATCTGGGGTGTCGCCGCCGCTAATCAGTTGCCGGTCGATTTGCAGTTGGGGTGTGTTTGATAAATTTCAAACCTATAGGGACTTCATAAATTTTTAGGGGTATATTTGCTTAATTTTAAAATTTTTTGTCAACCGGTTTGACCACCAACCAGTCAACCGGGACCCAGAAGCTTTGTCGGGTTTCACCCTGGGTTGGGTTTTAAAACATTGTCTAAGAACCCTTTTTACAGCACTCTAATGTTACTTACCAGGATTTGACATAAAGCGACTCAAAACTCCCACTGCTTGTGCAATATCAGGTTGCGTGCACACCATGACATACATCAAACTACCTACAACACTCGCATATGGCACATGTGTCATTTCTTCAGCATCTTCCTCAGACTTAGGACACNTTTGTTCATTGAAGTGTTTATCTGTATTGAGTGATTGAAGTTCTGGGTTTCTAACATAAATCTATTTTTTTAAGTGGCAATACATTTTAGAAGTTTTAATTGCATGTTGTCATCTTTTTCCCTACTTTTTGTGGAAAATTAAGGTCTTGCTACTTTCAATCAGATTTTGCATATATGTGGAATCAGGGGATAAAAACATTAATTTCGTTCCTTAGAGTTCCTTTATCTAAGTAATTCTGTAAAATTGAATGACTAGAATTTGTTCTGATGTAGTCTGTCGCACTTTGGTGTGACTGCTTGAGATTTATGCAAGAATATGATCCATCTGTACCTGAATTTTCACCTGATGGTATTGCAAAGGCAAGAAATCTCTTTGAGCGTGCTATAACTGCTGCTAGTTTGCACGTTGCTGAAGGCAATAAAATATGGGAAGCATACAGGGAATTTGAGCAAGCCATTCTCCATACCATAGATGAGATCAACATTAAGGTGAGAATTTATAATATATATATTAGAAATTGTTTAGAAAATGTGCCTGAAGGGGATGCATTCTATTAATTAATTTACTTTATTATTTAAAGTCTTATTCCATCCTACTAGTTTGGTATTGTGGTTAATAATGCTTTTGCGGGTCTTCCTTTATATTTCCTAGAACCATGGCTCAAGTAGCATGCCCTGTTTATTTTAGAAACTTTTTTTTTCTTCTTTTTGTCATCTATGTATAGTTCATAAATTTTGTTCTTTCATTTCCCTATGAAGTGCAATGTACCAAGAAAAAGTATCTGTTTTCAAAATTTACATTTGGAAAATTACTGCTCTTTTGCAGGNAACGGAAAGGGACATTATTATTAGGGTTTAATTAATATTTTTCTTTTGAAAGGGATTAGGGAAGTCTTGAGCTTATAAGGGAGTGACCCTCAATCTAATAGGTTAGCTTTTTAGGTGGAAAACCCGTAGCCTATAACAAGTGGTATCATTGCAAACCCAATCGACCTTTCCTGTCTCATTAAGCACCCATGCAGAGGGCCATCCACGTGTGATTGTGGATTCACTCGAGAGTAAGGTCGATAGGTAGACAGGAAGCCCCACATGTGACGAGAGTATCACAAGGATTGAGTGGGGAAGAATGTCGCAGATCCCACATTGGAAGTAAATTGGGGACGTTTTGGACTAATAAGGGAGGAGTCCCTCCTTCTAATAAGTTAGCCTTTTGGGTGTAAAACTTTCAGTCTACTTGATGAACTTTCACGAATTTATTAGTATCTAGAAAAAAAGGCAATAGCAAACAATTAATACCATAAAAAAATATATGCTTATACCTCAAAACTTGGAATCTTGTAGTTCCATAATCACACACCTCATTGTCTTCTTTAATTGGTCTAATTTGCAGTCTTGTTCATAAAACTACCCACAATGCATATGAAGATTCTGCAGACTCTACGACATAGAAGTACTCAAAGTATATATTCTTTGATAACCAGTAGCTTCTCTGAAATCTGTATGATTTGTTGTGCCACAATCGGATTGTCACCCCTGAAAACCATTACTTCACCACGAGAATTAACAACATAAAACTCAATCTTCAAAATGATTAATATCAAAATAACGACTGTGCCATGTTTCTACTTGAACGAAATAGAGGCAACAACAGGAACAAAATATAACAGTAAAACAAATCAAACAGTAAACAAAGAAAATAACACGCGCGATTTACCCTGGTTCACCCAATGTGGGCTATGTCCAGCTGAGTCAATATTATTGCAATATGCCTCGCCTCTCTCGTTCACAATGAATGAATTGCCCTATGATTTGCTATCACTCCATAATAAGAGAAAAGTATGTTTATATACTAGGTTTAAGAGACTAAATCTAGTTTTACAAGGATTCCTATTCCTAAGCCCAACCCAATAAAGAATTAGTAACTTAAAAGAAATCCTACAGCGGTTATACATGAAGAAGCCTAAAACCGCCTACGAGCTCGAGTGCGTTGCCCCCGTAACCCCCGCCCACTCATCGGGCAACGGGACCTCCGAATACGTCTGCGCTACCCATTAATGC